CCAGAGGTCAGGTGTTCGCGCGCAGTACCGAAGGTCCCAGGTTCGAATCCTCCGAGGTGCAAGAGTCATGGATGCGCAATGCTGATGAGTCCCATATCAGGACGAAACGGCCGTCCAGTGCTTCCAGGTTTCTAATGGTGGTCTAACAATGATTGATTGATGATTTACTTTCAACAAATAAAAGAATCTACTTTGAAAATTGAATTCTTTTGAAATTATTCCATACATGATAGTCCAATCAAAATCTATGATCTAAGTTAAATAAATCACATGATTTCATTGATATGATTTAGAACAGTTGTGCAATTTTTCATCACTAAAAAAACAAATCATAATTGTTATTTTGTTCAAGTAATATTTCTTTTCTTTGTTTTTTCTCATAACTATAACCATCATCAAATATGTAACATGATGAAAGTGTCCAAATTATGTGTTTCATGTAAATTTGTTGATATTTTTTTTAATGCTTCTTTATACAACATGTTCATTTTATTTTATTTTTGTTGAAAATGTCAAGAAGAACTTGTATAAAAGCAAATAAGTGAAACAATGATTAATTGAATATTGAAAACTGTAATACTATTATTATATATGTCATGCCAATTTTTATCCTGTCGGTTTAACTGGAAGTGAATTCACTTACCTAGAATTATAATATAAAAGACGATAAATATTTACATAATTCTATAGAGTGGTAACCTAATGTGGGGGTTGAAGCATTCGGTTACCAACCACTTGATTATAAGTTCGAACCTGTCTTCATTTACTTTGATGTCATAACTGTTGAGGACGTTAGATCCCTGGAATTCACTTTATAAAGGTCCTAATTTCAGAGTTTATTCATGGGCTGATCAACTGATCTTGAGATTAAATTTCCCACCCGAAAAATCCTTGGCTGTGATTGGTTACTGTGTCTCTGGCTCTCTCAAAGACGTTTCTATGATGTATAAATAAACTCGATTTGTGTGCTTGAGATCATTTTATTTTCTGGGTGCTTGTGGAATACACTTTCTACGTCATTTCAAGACTTCTTCTTCGGTTAGTTGGGGCAACGGATAACAGTAGCCTACCGTATCACTGGGTCATCGTCTCGTCCTCCTTTATCGACTAAGATGAACTCGTAATGGTTCCAAGCGTATCAATCTCACGAGTAAAACTAATGCACTTAGAAATAGTGTATTTCAAAGTTGAATAAATGCGTTTGTATTTAGTCAATGAATTATATTTTACTATAGTGTAAATTACTTTACGATTGAATAAAATTATGTAGAAATGTTTAAAATTTTTCAATTGACTCAAGTTATTCAAATTTAATTTCTTTTTTTAAACACAGAAATTTATCTTTGTTAACAAAGGAAAGTGAAGTATGTTTAAAAAAAACAATGAAATTCTATGCAACATTGTTCTAGAAAAAATATTCTCAACCCTAAAAATGATGAACATATTATATATATATATATGTATATAGGCTCAAAAGATAGATGCTCAGCTAATACAATGTACTGCGAACAAAACTTGATTGACAGAAAAAAATTCAATAGTATGCTAGTTAACACCCTCAAAATAATAATAATCACAATAATCACAACAGTGATATTGACTGTTATTTATTCTATTCAAATTCAATAGTTTTCAACAATTTTTAAAAAGTTTCACTTTCACATTCATGCTAAACATAAAGATAATTTATTATTTACAATCCTATTTTATTGATATCGTGCAAAAGTAAATTTTTTTTTACTTTTTAATATAAAAAAATTCACTAACATGGATAATCCACTCACTATCGATCAAATTTCGAGATTTTATTATTTTTTTTGTTAATTTAAGGCAAAATACTAAACAGATTTGGAAGTATCTGTCAAATTACATACATTAGAAGAATAAAGAAGATAGTGGATACTTGTACTTTTGAATGTGTTCCAAATAACTGCAGACTAAAAGAGTCCTCAATCGTAAACAGCATTGAACATTTAACATAGTAATCATCAACTAACTAATTAGCTGATATCAAATTATTGTATCCCTTGACTGTTTAGTTAATTTTTGTGTTTAAACTATGTGATGCAAACTTACTGTTAATAAACTAGTTCAAATATATTAACTCATCACTAACTAAAATCAAATCACAAATCATTGAAAGATAACGAGCAAATATTTTGTCTACGTCTAAAGGTCCTCAGAAATGTACACTTATGGCTTCTTAAACAAGGACAATAATAGACACTGAGGTCCGATAAAACAGAACAAACACTTTCAAATTATGTGATTCATATTTTCTTGATTCCAGTCAATTTATGACCATCATTTAATATTACCAATCGACCAACTAACTGCATAATTTACGAATTCTCATTAATATTTCAAAAAGTTCATTTGAAAGCAGTGACTCATGATATTATTATCATAAATTAATTTCGTCACGAATTAAGTTTAGCTTAAATACTTTTTGGTAATCAGAAAGTAGTTGAGATTGGTTCAGTCTTAATAGGGAGTATGTCATCTGCAACCACAATGGAACAATGGAAAAATCTTCATGAGGTCACCTAGCACACAAAAATAAACTATGTTTATTTCTGAATGAAGTGATAGGCTCGTCATTTGAAATGCTTGAATGACATTACGAGTGCATCTTACTCAGTAAATGGGACAAAGTAATGACTCAGTGACACTATAGGCTATTCAAATCCTGTGTTCGCCCGTGACTACAGAACAAATCATGGTCCCTGGGTAGAAGCGCGAGTGATCAGAAGAGTTGGGCGAGTTATGTACGAAGTACAGGTCGGAATCGAAAGGTGGTCACGCCATCGAAACCATATACGCGAACGGCTAGCCCCAGATCGTCCATCAAGAGCAGAAAATCTTCCCCTTGACATCCTGCTTGATACCTTCAATCTACCAGCAGCCACCTACGAGAAGAATCTCAGTCACAAGCTAATCTCCGTTCCCGAAGGTATCCTCTCAGACAACGGCGAACGACAGTCAAGATGCAAGTTTACCCCAGGAGCGCACGCTGTTAAAATGGGGAGGAGTGATGGGGATGTTAAATCCCCAGAACTCGCTTGATAAATATCTTTATTTTGGATTTATTTCATGGACCGATCAGTTGACCTTGGGATCACATTCCCTACCAGAAAAATCCTTGGCTGTGATTAGTTACTGTGTTATTTCAGCTTGCTAGTTTTTTGACTCTCCCTAGGACGTTTCTATGATGTATAAATAAACGCGATTTGTGTGCTTGATTGCATTGTGCTTGTTGGGTGTTTGTAGAATACAATTTCTACACTATATAGAAGACTTCTTGCTGATACAATAGGGTCAGTCAGTTCACAGTAGCCTACCTGGACTCTGGTTCATTGTTTTGTTCTCGTCATTCCACTAAGGTGAACTAATAATAGTTTAAGAATACCTAGAGTCGAGCATCACAACTACAACAAATCAAAAACAAATTATATCGATTGATTGTAAATCAATTTATCCGAATTCGTTTCATGCAAAAATAAACCAACCAAAAAAAAAAAAACAGATAATTATTTGTAATTTTTTTAATAAAGTAACTCATAAGACTAACTTTAAATTACTGTTAACAATTGTCATTAAAAATTTATTCTATCTAATCTATAGATTCATAATAAGTAATTACTAATTACTAATTATTTGAATGAATTATTATTTTTAATGAGCTAACAACACACCTATTGGCAATTTACTAGGGCAAAAAAAATTAAAATTTCCACTCTGATGAATAATTATTGATTCATATTCATATTTATATGACAGATAGCTTTCTATGTTATTATCAACAGTTGACATTAAATACACTGTGTTGGTCATTATTGAAGTTGTATGGAATTGAGATGATTTCTCCAAAAACTATATAAGCACTTTTTCGATTGGTCGAAATGCAGTAAAACATTTTTTTCTTTTAATTAAAAACACAACGTGATAATTAGTCCTTGTCAGTGATAAGTATGTGTGTTCTCATGTCAGTCGGACAAGTTTCATGCGGTGTAACAGTGGGTTGGAAGAAAGCTAAAGGCGGCCAGACCAAAACATGGCACAAATCCATGAAGTCACTAACAAGTGGACTGATTCATGACGGTATGTGTCGACTAGCTAGTTGGGGTCCGTGAGATTATAGTAATCCATAGTTAGAGACCCTGAATATCATGGCTCAAAATCGTTTGCAGTGGCGCTGGTGCATCCACTCTTTGTGTTCGTTCAAATCCTAACCTTCTGAATTCCTCATCACCTTTATGTTTTTCTTTTCGACTTTATTTCACTAGATTCTACTTCTTGAATAATATCTTCGAACCCTAATCTATCCGATTACTGCTAATACTTTCACTACCTATACTGCTATAGGATTTGAATTGAGAATTACATCTCTGTGCTATGTGACACGGTAGGTTACTGTGATCCATTGCCCCAAACTAACTGACGGAAAAGTTTTGATATAGCGTAGAAAGTGTATTCTACAAACACCCAGCAAATACAATGACTCAAGCACACAAATTGCGTTTATTTATATATCACAGAAACGTCCTTGGGACAGTCACAAAAATAGCACACTAAAACAACACAGTAACTAATCACAACCAAGGATTTTCCTGGTGGGAATTGTGATCTCAAGGTCAACTGGTCAGCCCATGAATAAAACCCAAAATAAACTTATTTATCAAGCGAGTTCTGGGGATCTAACTTCCATAACAGAGCACAAATTATATACGACTAATAAATTTTATAACTGCTTGAAGAACGACATGATGCATGAATAATGGATTTCAACAGATTTTCAAATCATTTCATTTTATTATTGATAAGTATATTTCATATACCCTACTTGTCGAATGATAGATTATTCATGACTGATTTCTAGAATTTTTATAGCTAAACTACCCCAATAAGAGCAAGTGTTTAAAGTTGAAAACGCAATCTACTTTCAAAAAATTATCATATTCCAAATTCAGTAAATTTTAAAATGGTTATATTCAACTTACATGCTGGTTAATTTCACCATCAAAGATGCATTACCCAACAGTTCTCGAGAAACTAATCGTGCAGATGGTTTAGGATATCCAAAGTATAATTTTGTAGACGACCATCCAATTGGTGTATTCATACCATTCTCATATTTTGGTGGTAATAAACGTCTGAACGGTACCAATGCAGCACCCCATCGAGGATGATTCAAATTATTACAAGTGCCGTCGATTGAACGATAACGTAAATGAAAACATAATTGTCTTGAACATGGATCAACTTGTTGTGCACTTTGACAACCTGATAATTGAGCTATAATAGCCAACTGATCTGTATTCAATTCAACACCGAGTGTATCACGTGAATTCGGATCAATTTCATCGTGTTCTTTAAAATCATCTGGTATAATGTCAGTTTTGTTAAATTCAAAATGTTTTTGATTCCGCTGACGTAAAATACTAGTCACTTCATCGATTGCCGCTTCATAAACTTCAGCTGCTTTAGCTAATTCAAGTGCTGCACGATTTGGTTGTCGAAATAATGAAGCAATATCTGCTGATGATCTTCTACGACCTGTATCTCTTAAACGATCAGCTGTTTTGCGAATAGCTGTTTCAATACGTCTACGTGCTTTTTCTATAATTTCTTTGACAAGATCATCACCATTGTTAGGTTGATTATTATTTGACGACTTATAACTTATATCATCATTTTCAATGGTTTCATTATACATTTCAGAAACAGATGATACTTGTTGAACATTATCAGATAGAACACGAATTACCGTGGAAACACGTGCTGATCCTAATCTGTTTGCTACATAACATGTATATCTACCATGTGCATCTTCTGTGGTGACATTTCGAACCAATAATACACTCAGCGTTTCCGTCTTCTCATTTTCAGCTAAAATATATTGATCCGTTGAATAAATACTCAAATTATTTTGAAACTGAAATTGTAATAAATTTATTTCGGTACTATGACTACGTACAATGTATCGACCACCTGTAACTAATTGTAATGGTAAACCGTCTTTTTGCCATAACCATGATATATAAGGTTTTGGTAAACCTTTCGCTGTACACCGTAAATCCATAACTGAATGTTCTGCCACAACGTTATCATCAGCTGGTGGAGCCTCAATTATTGTTGGTTTTATTGGTTGGATTAATTGAAGAATACCTTCTGAAGTAACAACTCCGTAGGGATTAGATAACACACAAACATAACTGCCTTCATGATAGTCATGAGCCTCGGTAATTTCCAAGATCTGTGGGAATGAACAGGAATGTTTTTAAATTGATGTGAGGCATAAAATGAAGCAATATTGTCAATCTGATGACACTTTCATCAATATTTTATGGAGTTTAAAGACTCCTCATTAAACTAACTCAAAATAGCGCCTTATTTGATTAGTGCATTTACACTAACCAAATGTAAACTACTAATAAATCAATTAAAAATCATCTTGATTCTTAAAATGTGAACAGTCACCAACTGTGTTAGTTGTAGCTAATGCTTTTTAAATAAAATTTCTGTTCTAATTTACATTCTATAGATTGTCAAGTTGATCTAGGTGAAGGATACCTGCAGTTGAAACGTTTTCCAACTGGTTACAGCCTATGTGACTAGAGTTAATGTCAAACTATGATTAAGAAATGTGGTATACTCAGAAGAGATTTTGTTAGAGACAAATATCGTGAAAATGACATTATTATTCATCAAAACTTGATTGAGTTACATGGTAAAGAGGAAGAGGAATATCAGAGCCATGTTCTGTTTTATTCACAACGATAAGTATTGAGTAAATAGTTACAGTGTTAGTAGTTGATAAAAATAAGATATTAAACATGAAATCTATTTATTAAACACCCTTATCAAATCTAATCCAAACATAATTGATTAAAATTTAAAAAGACTTAGGACTCAGTAACTTCTAGATCAAACACAAAACACATTTGGTTACAAAGCTAATCATTCACGGACGGATAAGAAGTTGTCAACCATGGATCATTGTCTATTATTCACTACATATTTGCATACGCGCACCACAGACAACCAAAAATGGCTAATCTTAATAACGACACTATATGAACACTAATGATAAAAAGGGTAAAAAACAGAAATCTACAATATAAATTAATTAATTAGGACATTAACTGACTCATTCAGCATCATACTCATTTTTTTATGTGGTAATGAACTGTTATCAAATACTAGGATGAAACGGCCGTCCACTGCTTCTAGGTTTTTAATGGTGGTCTAACAATGATTGATTGATGATTTCGAAAATGTGCAAAAAACACTTGTCTCCATAATTCTAAGTGAAAAATCTTTAATTAAGATCATTCACAATGAGTAACAGTTGATTTTAATCAAATAAATCAACAAAACAGTTGTCAAATTTCTAGGTTACATAAATAAAGATTAATGTGTTAAAACAATAACTTAAACACTCATCATACTGATGACAATTAAGCCTCTATCACGTTAATAATTATCTCAATAATCTATATATACATACATCCTGATCATGGCTACTATCTCTGGACACTATTATGTTTTAGCAGTGATCCTTTCTAAATGAAACTAATCGTATTTGATTAGAAAGTTATCAAGTAAATTACTTTACTATTCTGATCATTTATTTTTGTTTGAATGATTAATAATTAATTTTGTTCTAACTTTTAACAATTAATTTTATTTGATTATCACTGAATAATCATACAGTTAATGTTGTTTTTGTGAAGTATCATTTCTCTGTACAGTATTATATGTTTGAATGAGATTAAAACAAGTTCAGTGAAGTGAATTTGATTTCTATTACTATTGATTTTTGCCAAGTTGAAGAGTTGAGATTTCAACTAGTGCATACATTATGCAGTTGCGGAGATTGTTGAATTACTCATTGATATCATAAATCGATCAATGTTAGACCACCATTGAAAACCTAGAAGCACTGGACGGCCGTTTCATACTGGTATTGGACTCATCATCATCAGTGTGCATCCACGACCCATGCACCTCGCAGGATTCGAACCCAGGACCTTCAGTCCTGCGCGCGAACGCCCAACCTCTGGATCATCGAGCCAGTATCTAACGGTGTTTACGTCTAACTTCGATCAATTCACGGTGTAGTGCAACCTGTGTTGTTCGTGACTGACTTCGTGAGAAATATTCTCCGAGTTTTAGTCAATCAGTTGCAACGTAAGAACTTCGTACGTATGAACATAAGCTCATGTTGCCATACCACGTTAGCACAGAAACGCAAATGTCAAATCAAATCCCATAGTGATAAAGATAGTAAAGGTATTAATGGTAATGAAGAAGACTTGGGTTTGAAGATATTATTCAAAAAGTATAATTCAGTGAGATAAGTTTAGAAAGACAAAGGTAGAGGTACTGACGAATCCAGAAGATTTGGATTTGAGAGAACACAATGAATGGATGCACTTGCGCCATTGCAAACGATTTTGAGCCATGTCGTTCAAGGTCTCTAACCATTGGTGACTTTCGTCTCGCGGACTCCAACCACGTAGTCTACATCTACCAACATCACTCAGTCCACTTGTCAGTGATTTCATGGATTTCTGCCATGTTATGATCTGGCCGCCCCCAACTTTCTTCCAACCTACTCCTACACCACAAAACATAGCTTTTCGAGGTAGTCGGTGGTTAGGCATACGTAACACATGTCCCAACCATCTTAACTGATGAAGTTTCATTACTTCATCTATTGATTTGCCATCTCTACCTAGAACTCGTTTCTTAACGACAGCATTGCTTACTCGGTTGTCCCACGATATACGAGCAATGCTTCTTAAACATCTATGATCGAATACTAGTAACCTACGAACATCTACTCTTAACGGCCATGTTTCGCATCTGTATAGGAAAACGGAACGAACTGCTGCGCAGTACATCGAGTTCTAGTGAGAAGCCACGGCCAGTGGAGTTCAACCCTGTTAGACTGTAGACAGTAACTATCGAAGACAGTGGATGAGGTTGTGCAAGACCATGAAGTGATCGAAGTTAGACATTAACACAGTCAGATACCGGCTCAGTGGTCCTGAGGTTGGGCGTTTGCTCACAAGACCTAAGGTTCTAGGTTCGAATCTTTCAAGGTGCAGGAGTCGTGGATACGCACTGTTGCATACATCATATATAACGATCTAATGAAAAAGAGATTGCCGTTACGAACAGTTCATTCATTGATGTAAAATATTGAGAAAATTAGCCACACTAAATAGGACATTTTTTTAGTGGATTTACAAACCATTACTTTACTAGCTTTCTTTGTTATCAAAACTGGCAAAGAAATCCATGAGCAACCTTAAAATTTCAATATCAGTTCAACTTCTTTTGAAATATATTCAATATAACTGTTACTTGAAATGAATTAAAAAATCTGAACCAATAGCTTGAAAGGTGTATTCCAGTTTAGGAATCCTAATTCAAACTTTTCCTTGAAGTAATCTATGCCATACCGTCAAGATGTCATTTCAAAAATCAGCTTTTTAGATTTTGTCACAAACTTTCGTTTAACTGATTCAAATTACACAATATTAATCATATTTTATTTCGGTCTAAAAACATTCGTCATCATTAATCATAGTAATATTACACATCATACAAAGCCTAATACTAATTGCATTATGAAAAAAACAATTTTATTTACAGAAGAAAATATACGCTTACTTGTCGTCTTCTATACAGTCTTATATAACGTGTAGCTTTAACTGGTAAAATCCATGTGATTTGACTAGGAACACTTGATTCCCCTCTGCATATAAATCTAGCTACTTCACCAGCCACCACTTTAACATTTTTCAGTTGAACAACTAAAGATGGTGCTTTGTTCTCAGAATAAATTACATTGTTTTGCGTTGGACTATTATGAATAAAATTATTTGAAGTTGGATCCTGTGTTTCATATTCACTATCAGACTCAGTCAATAGTTGAGGTGTCCTTCCACCAAAATCTTCTCTTGGACAATGTGGCCATGGCCAATAACCATGTAATTGTTGATATGGTTCTGAATGAATAACTTTATTTCTGTCTGCATTACTTATTGCTTGAAAGCCTAACAAACGTGTCTGGTTCACAAGAGTACGAAGACGACCAGCTAAATCTGACAGTCTAATATTACGTATTTGTGGTGGACTATGACAAATAACTCTTGATGATTTTGATTCCACATACATGAGGGATAATGAAAAATCAACTAGTTCACAAGGACAATGAATTGGATTATTGCCTAATGATAAACGTTTTAAGAAAATTAAACCTTCCACTGAAAATGGTATATGTTTCAATTGATTATTTGATAAATCTAATTCTTCCAATGTATATACTGGTGTAAATACATCTTGTGGTAAATAAGCAAGACGATTTGATCGTAACATTAAAACTTTCAACATTGGCATTCCAATAAATGCTTCAACCGATATCCACACAATTTGATTTGAATATAATTCTAAACGTAACAAATCTAAATGTCCTTCAAATGATGCTTTCTCCAGTCGCATAATTGAATTTTCAACAATAGTTAAATATTCCAAAACTCCACCATCTGAACTAGGCACAATAGTTGGTAATTGTGGGATAGTACGAAAACCAACATTTTGACAACGTATTGTTTGACCCATACATGCACATCGTTTTGGGCATTCTTCACTATTGATCAATGCTAATTGAGTAGATAATAGAAGAGCGTAGACTAAGCTAAAAAGCATCATTGAATTTCTGTGATTTATTTTCAAATAGGTGATCATAGATTGAATTTGTACATGAATAATACATAAAATGTGAAATATTTTTAATTAACTATTCAAATATATATATATACCTCTCGTAAATGTGTGTTTCGGTTATCAAATAGATTTGTTTACAAATCATTCAACTTCCATATTATAAATAAACTAACTATGATGAGATATTCACTAACATCAAATTTTCAAAAATGTATTTCATTCATCAAGATGCGTACAATTTAAAATTATTATTATTATTATTATTATTATTATTATTAGTAGTAGTAGTAGTAGTAGTAGTAAATAATAGTAGTATGAATATGATATTGACGCCATCTTAGGGATCTATGGACATTTAATTATAAAATACACTAATGAATGATAAATACACAAAGATTTTCAGTGAAATTTTCTTACAAAATAAAAATTTCATTATTATTCATTAATGAAAGTTCAAATGTAAAATTTATTTATCATTATTAGTTTAAAAATTAAGTTAATTACTACTCCATAACAATGAATAATAATGATAATATTTTGTTTAAATCAAGCTAGTTAATTAATATTAGGCAAATAAAATGTAATTTCGAGTTTTAGTAGTCATGGTGAGGAAAAATTCACTGCTCAACTATTAGATAATAAGTTTGAACTGCATTATACTTATTTCTACACATCAAAAAAAAAATATTATCAATTAATCATTGTTAGACTACCATTAGAAACCTGAAAACACTGAATGGCTGTTTCTTGATTTCAGTGTGTGAAAAACACTAGTCTCCATAATTCTAACTGAAAATATTGTAAAATGTGCTCACTAGTGACTAGCTTTGTGAGGAAATTCCAGGAGTTCTAGTGAAAGGACGTGACCAGTGGAGTTCAACCCTGTTCACATGTAGGCAGTAACTACCAAAGACAAATAGGTGAGGTCACGCAAAATCACTAGATCAATCAGAGTTAGACATTACCGTCGTTAGGTGCCGGCCAAACGGTCCAGAGGTTAGGCGTTCGCGCACAAGACCAAAGGTCCCAGGTTCGAATCCTGCGAGGTTGGTGCGCACTGCCGATGACTCCCATACTGATACGAAACCGCCGTCATTCAGTGATTCCAGGTTCCAGGTTCGTGGTCTAACAATGATTGGTTGATGATTTCAATGTGTAAAAAACACTAATCTCCATAATTCTAATTGACAAATACTCATTTTTGTCTGAACAATTGGATAAAAGTATCATTACCCATCGCATGAACCTACCGATTCAAGGTCGAGTGTATAAACATGTACTTCACAAGTCGTAGTAAATAACCAACAGATTATCTGTTCATGTTTTTTGTTTCGTTGATGTAAGCTACGGAAGTTTTGTTAATGGTTTCAAAGAAATGAAAAGTTTAAAAAGATATTTATGATCCAGTTACTTTCATTTTGAGATTAAGATGCTTGTGATGATTGTAGAATTTCATAGTTTGTACTACCTCCACATACATTTGAGTTTGTTCATATTTAATTTGGTTAAGTCTTTTGAATTGACTTATTTAACTGATTTATTGATATAGAAACAACTTATATATGTACCATTAGTTTTTATTATTGTCTGGTTTGTACGAGCTGGAGCAACTGAACATTGCTTACCGCCTACAAACATATTCATCCGATTCGCTTTAGTATTAGCCTCTTAAATAATTCGATAACTCGTTGATTCTCCCATGTATATATGTGTACACTTTAATCCTATTCATTCATTCACTAACTCGCTCATTGTTTTGCCTGCTCTTTGGTACTCGCATATTGATTGTCGCTCTGTGTGCCTGTGGTTTGGCGGTCTATTTGTGGTGTGCCGAATAAACGTATTCAACACTTCATATTCCTCTTCTGATTAATATACCGTGAGGCGTTATTTAGTAACGACTGTTTGGAGACGCAATATACGAAGTTTAAGAACATATCAAATACTGACCGCCAAGGAACTAGTGAGACACGGGCCACCACAAGTTTACATCACGAAAATTTGTTATTTCGATAGCCACTGAATATCATGGAGCACTGGATACATGTTTTATCTTAGTATACGATTCAGTAGCAATGAATATACATGAATCACATCGTGGATTGACAACAAGACTTTCTAGTTTCAAGACAACAACTGCTTAAACTGCTAAGTTGGCACTCACTGGTTTATATGCCTAACCTTAACCAAATTATGATAGTGGACAACCCATCTTCAAATGTTAATGGTAGATAACTGTCCAATATTCATTGATCATGGTTTCTAACTGTAACTCTAAGAATCATTTCAAAATTAGTTTTTGGTAAGTAAACGATTATTGTTATTGTAAGGAAACATAGAAAGTGAATTTGTTATCAACATTGCGAGAATTAAGATGTTAGGAATCCAATGAAGTCTAATATAGAACTGTATCTTATCAATACAGATGAAAATCATAGTATACTTGAAGGTTACTGAAGTGGGAAATTTTTATCGCCAGTCTTCGATTTTATATCTTTAAAGCATCATATATGTCATAAAATCTAGGTTTGAAGCTTTTTGAAGTTCTCATTATATCATACATATAGAAGTTCTGGAGTAAAACAAATTCAAACCATTTAATTCTTTTCTATTTTCAATACTACTTAAACTACTATCAACGTGTGTTTACACTTTCATTGTGTACAAAATCTTTTCGAAAATGACCTTGAGTTAGTAACTGATATGTGAGTTATTCAAATTCTATTTCGTCTTCCAAATAAATCGGATAATTGGATAATTTTACATGTTTTAAATGTCATATTTTCAAAATATTAGATTTCATTTAAGAGTTTTTTTCTTTTTTGGTTATTTTATTTTCGCACAATAAATCACTATGGACAATTCCATTGGATATTGTTATTACCAGTATTTATGTACATGAATAATAGTTAGTCAGGAACGAGAATATATAAGCGTTATTTACTATCATTAAGAAAAATCGTGATTAAATCTCAGAAGAACGATTAGTTCCAACAACTTACTTGCTTACTTAGGCCTGTTACCCCCATTGGAGTATAGGCCGCCCACCAGTGTTCTCCAGCCTACTCTGTCCTGGGCTTCTCTTTCCAGTTCTGTTAAATGTTCGTTCATTCTGTCTGTCTCCATTCCTTGGCCTTCCTCTTTTCCTTTGACCTTGAGGGTTCCAAATGAGGGCTTGTCTTGTGACGCAGTTCGGTGCTTTCTGCACTGTGTGTCCTATCCACTTCCACCACTTCTTCCTGATTTCCTCCTCCACTAGAATCTGACTTGTTCTCTCACAAAGTACGTTGTTGCTGAGGATGTCTGGTCAACGAATCCGAAGTTGCGTAGACAACTGTTAGTGAATACTTGAATCTTCTAGATGATGGCTTTGGTAGTTCTCCAAGTTTCCGCTCCATACAGTAGAACTGTCTTGACATTTGTATTGGTTTTGGTTGAAAGTTGTTTTGGAGTTCCAGATATTTTTCAACTGTAGAAATTCAGCCCTTGCTTTCCCGACCCCTGTCTTTAGATCTGCATTAGGACCACCTTGATTGTCAATGATTCTGCCAAGATATGTAAAAGTTGTTAACGTCCTCCAAGGTTAATTCTAAAAAAACAAACTTAAACTGATATATAAACATCAAGATGTAGTAATTGGTTGTTAGATGCATATAACATTTAGAGATGAGAGAATTTTTTTTTGTTTTATGGTTGAAAATTATCGAAACTCTAACGACTTATGATTTGATTTAAATCTAAAAATGTATACAAGATAAAGTTTCTCAAGAATAAAGTATAAAAAAATGTATATTTTTGAAAATGTTTGAAGTTTTTTTTTTAAAAAAAAATTCCGAATTGATTTTATCATTTTCGCCAATGAACTTTCTTTATCATCATCATCCCAAAATGTTTTTATCTCTTTTTTTGGTAAATGGTTACAGTTGATACATGTGAATGAATATATTTTTTATGTTATTTCATACTGTTCTGTTGTTCTATTTTTAACAAGATTGTATAAAAAAAAGTCAATGCATGATATTTCTGTGTTGAAATTGTTACAATAAACAAATCGCAAATACAAATTCAAATTGTTGTTAACACAAACGCTTGTTTAAATGTGTTTCTATGGTGAATTCTTGCATAGGGTGATAAAAATGAAAGTACTGTCAGGAAGATGATTTATTTTGATTGTTGCATTTTTTGAGGGGGGGGGTTAAAGATTTCTAACACTTCAAAGTTGAACTGCATTACTGCCAGTAAAAATATTTTTACTGTGATACGCAGAACTATAACAACATTACCAAATGATAATTGGTTGTAGATGTAGACAACTGTCTCACTTAAATCCTAAAACTTTAGTGTTATCCAGTTACTTAGTTTTTGATCGTGAATTCTGTCAAGCATCAGCAGACTTTGTAAACACAGATTTAACGAAATTTCTTCACAAAATAAGAATGGTTTATCGGTCTTTAATACCTTGTTTACAATGTATACTTTTTTAAGCACATAAAGGGTGACATCTGTGTTCACAGCACATTAGAATCTGATTCATTTTTGTGCGCGAACGCCTAACCTCTAGACCACTTGACCGGTAAAATAAAATTATCACCGCTACTAAATCTGAACATAAAACAATGAAACAATAATATTGAAACTTCAATAATATACTGTAAGCTTCTCACTTATTCATCTCAATTCCGATTGGAACTGCAACCGGGAAATAATTTCCTTAGAAGTTCCAATTAATTCAGCTATCGGTTCAGCTGTACTGATGATAAATATTTATCTCTCATAGATAATCGGTTAAAATACTATGTAAATTAATAAAAAATAACTGTTTGAATGAAGCTTTCAAGACATTATCAACGATTCCATTGAAATAGATGTATATCAACTCGAACTTTGTTATAAACCATGTTTTAAAGATTTTACTGATCATGAAATGTTAGGTGAACTTATGAGATTGAACTATTGATTTCTAAAACCTATCAGCAACTTAAAATCCTAACCAGATACGAATATCAACATTATTAAAACATTCTTTTAATAAGCTCATAGCCAACTTAAGATTCTGAAACT